TTTGGACGAATCTCTTTTCTAAAGAAAATTTTGTTTTATAATTTTTATCTCAATTTAAAAAAAAAAAAAAACTTAAAACATTATATCTTTAGTTTATAAATTGTATCTTACTTTATAAATTGTATTAATTTTTTATTTACTCTCATTATATTGTAAAAACGAACTAACAAATGTAAACTAAAATATTAAAATAAAAAAAAAATAATTTCAGATTGTTTGCCCTCTATTTAGAATTCATTTCTTGCAGAATTATTTTGTATTCTATTTTTTTGGGTTAATAAAATTTATCTGTCATATTTTTTCTGAAAAAACCCGAAAAAATGGGGCCCTTGTAACACGTCAAGCCCGTCCCCGTTAAGGAGGGGGTAGTTTGTTTTTAAAATCACTCCTTCCTCACCGCCCCACCCGCACCCCCTAAGAACTGTCAACCTTTAAAGTTTTATCGATAAAATTAAAAAGTAAGAAGAAAAAAAAAAATTGGAATTAAATAATAATTTGATGTTTTGTAATTTAACTAAACGCTGTGTCTAGCGCAACGGCACTGTTGCTTTAATTTTTGTGCCTAAAGTCACTAATAGTCAGTGTGACTATTAATGAACCAATCGGAATTCAGCAAGTAGCGAAATCTGATTGTTTCTTTTTATAGGTTGCAAATATATACTTGTATAGGGGTAAACACAATTTAGTGTACACACGTCTACTGACTATCTAGAAATTCGCGAATTGGAGTGTGTATACATCGACTGACGATCTAAGGATTGATGTAGTGGAACGTATATACATAGACGGAGGGTTTTGGCCTGGCCAGGCAATCTTTTGAATAAAAGATTGCTTTTTAAATTAAAAATCGGCAGCTGTATCTTTGCGCTGCGTAGACTAATTTAGTAATACAAAGCATCTTTTTCATAAGATTTAACTTAAACTAAGCTAAACAAAACTTTCTAAACGAAAGTTTTACTAAAATAAAACGTCCACTAACTCAGCAATACAATCAATGGCGGATCCAGGTCACTGATTGGTCCTAATGGAGGATAGTCGGAACAACAACAAAAAAAGGGGCCCTATTTTTTAGGTTAAACAACTATTTCATTTGATCATTTACAATGTTTATATATTGGCAAATATATACAGTACAATCTCTCTAATTTGAACAAAAAATGGGGAAAATAAAAAATCGAATTAGAGTGATTTTAGAATTACAGAAAGTTTTTTTCACATAAGGGTATTTCACGGTGACTTTGCATTTAATCGATTTATGGAGGTTTTCAAATTAAGGAGATTCGAATTAGAGAGATTATACGGTATATATATTAAATGTGTGTATAACTTTAAAACAGCATTTTTTTTAATTTTCCTTTTTGTTTTTTAATTTTTATTAATAAAAATGTAAAGTTTGATAGTTCTTTGGGGGCTAATCCCCACCCCCTCCTTTGTATTCGCCAGTCAATACAATCATCATTGTATGCGTGTCAATACATGCATCATTTTGTTAGGTTTACCGAATTTGAAAAAATAAGCAAACGTTAATACGTAGTTTTAATATTATAAATAAATAAAAAACACCTATATCATAATTTTAATTTTCAAAAAGGGCCTTTTCAAATTCCTGCCCCCCCCCAACCGGGGGTTTGGGGGGCTTTTGGCACGGCACTGATTAGTTAAATTTATCTTTGCGTAATTTATGGACGATTTTTAAGGGATCACCCATGAATTATGCAACGCTAAATTTCACTAACAAACAAAACAAAAAAGATCAAAGGTTTTTCCTCGCAGTCTTAGGTTATATAAAAAAGCAAAAAAGCTCATTAAGGTCTATGAAAATCACCGCGTAAAAGAGCTTAAAGGCCTACAGGACGAAATATTCGCGTGAAGCGAAGTTTTTCGCTATGAGGAAACGCTGCTTTGATTTACATTTGCATTACTTTTTTTTTTTGTCAATAATAAAAATGGCAGCAATAAGTTTACGCTGTATGTTTAACTAAAAACAATTATTACTTTTTAGCCTACTTTTGTCTTTAAAGCATGTGGAGATTTCTTACCATGCATTAATGTTAACATTTCTGTCTTTATATTTAAGATGTGATATCATTTTGCAATATAATAATTTAATATAAGGTTTTTTACAAGAAAGTAAATAAGATATAATATTCAAAACTTGATTGGTTTTCGCATATGGCAATTCGCAAAAAGTCAAAATGAATCCGACCTTTTTTTTCGCTGCAGCGAAAATGAAATTCGGGTTTATTTCGACTTTTTGGATTCATTTCGTTATTAAATTTTCTTATACAAATACTCACAATGGAGTATTTGTTTAACAATATCGCTCAAAATTCAAAAAAATGAAAAGTTAGCATGAAAATTCTATTTTCATGCCTTATAATTTTCAAGCTAGATAATTGCCTCATTAAGTTACGTTATAAAAAATTCGAACGTGGCGTAGTTGCTTGAATTTTATTCAAAAAAAAAATTCGAAAATTTGTGACATTAGTTATTCCAGCTATTGTTATCATATTGCTCAGTTTTGAAAAATCAAACTTCTAATTGACGAGGAAGAAGGTATGTACTATATTTTTAAATAAAGTTATTATAAATTTTTGTTGTTCTTGTGCATAATATAGAGCGCTTTTGCGATGGTCTATTTGAGTTATAATTTTCACATAAAGTTATAAGACAATAATGTTTATTTTGACAAGTATGGTCTTGTCGAGTTATTATTTTTTTTACGAGCAATAAATATAGGCTGTTAACAATCAGACACTTTTGTAAAATTATCCGCCAACATCCGCCACCTTTTGTTTTAACGTTTTGAAAATAGTGTGTAAACCATTACGTAATATTACGTAATATATACAATCTCGTAAAAAGTACTAAAATAGCTATAAAATAAATTCTTGAGATTTTTAAAATATTTTATACAAACTACGTAAAGAAATAAATTAAATAGATAGTATATTAAAGTATTAAACTATAAAATATGAAATAAATATAAATGTTTCATTTGTCGATTGCTACGAACACTTTTACCCAGTTTCGTATTTATTGTTTTATTATTTATCTTGTAGATTCGTCTAAAGTAAAAAAGCTGCTCACTAAAAGAAAGTTATATGAAGTAATAAAAGATTATAAAGGTAAAAAATTGGAACAACAACTTTTAACAGTTATGAAATATCCATAAATCAAAAAAGTGCCATAAAAAGAATTTTAAAATTCTTTAAGAGCGATTTTAAGAAAGGATGGATAGTTGCACTTTATAAACACAAATGTTTTATAAAAAACAATAAACAATGGCTCAAATCAAACATCGAATTACTTTATAGGTAAATAAACACCTCTTCCATCTCCAGGCTTCTGCAGGCCCATTCGAATACGCTTCATTAGTGAATTGAAAGACATAACAATGGACGATATAGAACACTTAAAAAACCAAATAGTAAATCTTAGGGTAACGTAATCAAATTGGAAAAATAAAACATACGTTGCTTTTTACAATGGTAGATGGTAAAGTGTGCAACGCTGCAACTGATACCACATCTACTATGAGGTGGTATATTTATGGACAAACATCAAAAGATTTTAATAAATTTACTAAAAAATAGCAAATCAATACATAAGCCCACTCATTTGGACTCTCGATTCCTAATGCAATGATCCGCTTGTTTGAATCGCTTCTTCATTTAAAATTCAAATAAATTTAAAATTCATTTATTTAAAATTCATTTAAAATTTCATTTAAAATTTCATTTAAAATTTAATTTAAAATTTCATTTAAAACTTCATTTAAAATTCAAATAAAATTCCTTTAGAAAAGGGGCAAGTTCGATTAGACGAGGAAAAAAAAATTGTCAAACAAGCGAAGAAGAAAATTCCAACATCCTTCAAGGAAAATTAGAACTTTAAGTAGATTTACCTAAAGCAGGGTTTGGAAATACCAATGACGGCTATAGGTCAAGAAGATTTTTTTCAAACCCGGAATTATCTTCACAAATAACTGGTGTTAACTTGAATTTAATAAAACGTTTACATGTTATTCTTGAAATCATTTCAGATGGATTAAAATTGATGTTGTTAAATTCGACACTCTTGCTCATAAAACTGCTAAAATGTATATGAATCTGTATGGTTGGTATCCATGTCTCCAACTATGCATAAAATTTTGATGCATGGCACAGAAGTAATAACTTATGCAATCCTCCCTATAGGTCAGTTATCTGAGGAGGCAGCTAAAGCCAGAAGCAAACACTTTCGGCAGTAGACAGAATTTTAGTCGAAAGTTTTCTCGTATTGACTGCAATACAGACGTACTAAATAGACTGGTATTGAGTTCAGACCCATACATAAGTAGTTCTAGATCAAAACGGCACAAAAAAACCTTACCTTTTCAAAAGAGGCAGTCAATATGAATATCTCAGAAAGAAGATTTTATACGCGAATAATTTAAAACGAATAAGTCTTTTTCTTTATAATAAATTACTCCCTAAAAAATTTTTTTATTGCTAAACGTTTAATTTTGATAAAATACTATGTTTCAAACTAAAAAACATGCATAATATATTTTTTTAAGCGGTTTTGTCATACAAATATATACTGCGCATAATAGCCAAAAATGTTTCATCTGCGCATGCTTATCGACAAAAAATTTCGCTTCGCGCGAATATTTCGTCTTGTGGAAAGCGGCCATTAGATCTCTTACTTCTGTTTTTTTAATTAATTTAGCGTTGCGTAATTTACGGACGATTCCTGAGGCAAATTAAAAAAATTCTTTTTTTCTCTCACATTTTTTCATAAAAGTTCCAGACAAGCAAGTTTTTTGTGCTGCTATAATTGTTTACTTTTATTAAAAACAAAATTTTATGTACCTTAATGATAAATATTATTTTAATCATGTATTTTATTCATACGGTGATGTATCTTATTCATATCAGAATCGATAATAGTTCTTTATATTTATCTGAAGTCGGCGTAAAATTTAATCAAAATTTATACAAAAAAACGACAATATATTAAACACAACATATTAAAATATATTTACATTTATACATATATACAAAAGCGAATTTCTTAAAAAAAGACACGTTACTATGAGTTATTATTTGAACCACCAATTTCGGTTAACTTTGCTATTTCTTGCATGCATTTATAAAGATCTATTTTTAAACGACGCGACGAAGATCGAGACAATGCTGAGTGTAGCATTGTCCTTTGCATAGATTTTATTATACTTCGAACTTTCTGAAAAATTGCAAAAAACAAAATACAAGTTAAGCTTTTATTTAGAAGTTAGTAACATGATCCTAGAACATGAACTTTAGAACATAATTCAACTTTAAAAAATAATTTACCGAATCAAGAATATATTTTTTGGCAATCACAGGTTTAAGTTTTTTAACATTGACTATATCGTTCATTTGATTTATAGAAGGATTAAATCCAACGTACTCTTCAAACGGAAGTCGATAAGGCTCAGCAACACCTTGAATTAATTTTTTTTTTTCAGTTATTAGTATTCATACAAAGAAGGAAAAACATAGTTCATTTAGGGGATTTGATTATTTTCAATTAATGCTAATAAATTTTTAATATTGAAACATATCCGATTTCCGGCAACAAACTCATTTAGACATCAAATAATATAAATATATTAATATAAAACATCAAAAAATAAAAAGAGTAAATAAAAATAGGAAGCTTTCAGTAAAAAAAGGTTTCATTTTAAATCTTAGGTTTTTAGAAACCTCAAAAACTTTTATCTCGTATCTCAGTAATAAAAAATACTTTTTATCTCGTATCTCAGTAATAAAAAATACCTTTTATCTCGTATCGCAGTAATATTTCCCACATGACTAAGCTGAAAGAATACATATCTGCTTTTTGATAGAAAAAGACTGACTTATTACAACTGGAAGGATTCTCAAGAACTTCAGGTGCCATGTATCTTGGATTAGGAATTTTTGCCTTTGATGGAACCAGATCGAATTCACCAGGATTTTCTTCAACGGCAAGTGCAAAATCACTAATACAACATTGTAAGTTATCTTTAACAAGAATATTTTTACTAGAAATATCTCGATGAGCTATTGCTGGTTTACCATGAAAGCCACTTATAGGGTCGTGGAGATAACATATACCGCAAACAGACGAATATAAAAGGTGAAAAAAAATTGGTAAATCAAATGAATGATTTTGCAAAAAATTATAAAGTGATCCAAAAGGGTGATACTGTGTAATTAGGAACCGATCAACAGTGTCTCTTTCGACAATATCGGCACCAATAAAACCAAGTATATTCTCGTGGCCTAGATTTTGATTTTTATAGAAATGTTGCTCTCTCTGCCAAGAGTATTCATCGGATTCGTCAACAATTTTCACTGCAAGAGTTTGGTCTTGATATAACCCAATATATACAACACTAAAGCGACCTCGACCAACTACCTTTACCATTGAAATATCTTTAGCAAAAGATCGTTGAACCTAAACAAAATTTTCAACAAAATTTTTTTAAGATATTTTATTCATTCTTTTTATTTTCATAAAAAAATAAAAAATTAACTTAAAAAAATGAGCACCAATCTTGATTTGAATCCAGTGAATCCAGAGTTGAATCCAGTGAATCCAGAGTTGCAAGTTGAATTTTCTGATTTATCATCAGGAGACTTAACATTGCTGCTATTATTTGGTTTCTTCAGATTTTCCAATGTGCTATAAACATATATTAAAAAAACAAAAGAAACAAAAGATATTACAATAAATAAACACATGTAGCATAAATAGACATTTGTAGCATAAATTAACACTTGAAATATAAACAGTTGCAACAATGATAAACACTTACAACATTAATAAACACTTGCAACATAAATAAACACTTGCAACAAAAGTAAACAAATTTGTAAAATAAATAAAAATTTGTAATGCTATTACCTCAAGTAAAAATGTGTGCTATACAAGGAAAAAACCAAAAGAATAAGAAGGACAGAAACTACCAATCCAACCTGTTGACTCTGTACCATGTTGCGTCTTTTAACTTAAAAACCAATTATAAATATTTAAAAATACTTTTCTACCTACTATTAAATTAATCTTCTTTTTAAAATTTTATTTTAAGCATAGTATTTAATTATATAAAAGAATTTTTTTTAAATTGGAATCATTTATATAACTAATCTTTTGCGCTTAATTGTATGTGAAAGGTGGTGGTGGTGTCAAATTGCATTACAAATTTTCACACCTAAAATCATTTAATAACACCCCTCTCCCATTGTATCAAAGTTTAACAATAAGACCCAATCCCTCATTTGATTATCAACTGTATTAAGATTTTTCGATATCACACAAAACGTCTACTTTTGGCCTTGTTGTTAACAAGGCCAAAAGTAGACGTTACAAGGCCAAAACCAAAGCTAAAAGTTACAAGGTCAAGAGTTAAAAGGTCAAGGCCAAGATTGAGAGTTTTAAGGCCAAGGCCTACACAAACATTTTCAAGACCAAACGCTTCAATTTTTCCCTTACATTAAGGCCAATTATTAAAAAAACTGCAAGTAGAAAGTACTGTGACAATAAAACCACATTTTGTAAAATTAGACCAAGGTTATGTGCATAATTCAACGAAATCAATAAGAAAATAATTATTTTTTTAAGGCCAAGGTTAAAACAATCAAGACCGAGGCCAAAATTTCAAAGGCCAAGACCAACAGTTTCAAGGCCAAGGCCATAGTCAAGGCCAAGGACTAACAACTCTGATATCACAAAACATTATTTTTTAAGAAAAAAATTTAATTAAACATTAAATATGAGTAATACTAGTCTAGTTTAAAAATTTTAACATTTTAACAGATATTAAATAACTAAATGTTATGATAACAGTGGTCCCCAACCTGTGTGTCGCAATGCCAACAGGCGCATGACAATTTGCAACCAAGCATCATTGCAGCTTTTCAGGTTTTGCAACACTAAATTATTCTCAGTTATAATTGGTCTTATCAAATTTTTTTCTTTTGTCAAAATTATTTTCAAATTTTCTAAACTAAAGCCTCAGCTTTAAAGTTAATAACTTCAATTACGTGTGACTCTTAATTGCACAAAGCACACTTAAAATATTGTAAAGTTTACAACATTTAAAGTGAGCACTCACTATGGAGTTTTCTGCTTATTTGCGGTAGTGGTGTAGTGGTAGAGCGCTCGCTTCATAAACGAGTGGTTCCGAATTTGATCCCTACCATGTCCATGGTAGTACCACGCTCAACTCTTTCTCCGCACAGCGGCCTTGTTCATCAAGGTTCGTGTTTCAGAGATATAGAGTTGAGAGAGGGTTATAACCACAAATAAGTAGCCTCCTAGTCTGTAGTGGCTTATTCGGCCTTGAGGAGGTGAATTAAATAAAAAAAAATTAAAATAAAAAAATTTGACCTCCTACCCTTACAATTGAAGATTTGAGCTTTTTCAATATTGGAATTCTTTATTGAAATGTTAGTATGGTTAAAAAATTGTTCATTATTTTTATTTATGATTACAAAGTTACTGATATTTAAAAAATAGTTTACCAGATAATTATTATTTTTTTAAACAACTGAAAATATGTAACTTAGCTTCTTTTAAAAAATATTCCTTAAGCACAAAAGCGTTTAAATTAGTCAATCATACTGCAAGTTATAATAATAACAATAATTATAAACATAACAATAAAAACCAATTAACTTTATTAGGCACAATTACAAACAATTAAAAAATTATGTAACAATCAACAAACACAAGTATAATGTTATGATAACAATAATAAAAACAAGAATACTGATGATAATAGATATAATTAATGTCTCCTTAAGAACAAATAACAAAATATAGGAAATCAGAAACAAATAGTAACCAGTGAAAATAAAAATATTAATGATGATTAACAAAATAGTAATAATAAATTAAACATTTTTATGATGCCAACAATATTGATTCACAAAGAGAAACTTGTTATCAAAAACCAACTCAAAGCATCTTCATGCACACGTGCGAAATAAGCAACAGGCTCAAGATTTTATGAGGTGCCTTAAACTGCTAGATGGATCTACTACAGTATTTGATGTTGAACCTGAAGGATCTATGCCTCAGAATGACAATCAAACAGATTCCAAATTTACTCTTCTTAAAAACAACATAGCTGTCAAAGAGGTTAAAACACAGATTAAAGATCTATTTAAAACTAAAATAATGGGCAATAAATAAATGGGCTGCAACGGTGTTCATCTACGCATCTTGAAAAATTGTGCAGCTGCTTTTGTCCCTCTAATAACGCTTATTTTCAGGAAATCAATCACAACCAAAGAAGTCTGGATATATGGAAAAAATCAAATATAACTCTGATTTTTAAAAAAAAGGAAGCAAAATTGACGCTTTGCAGTTTTTGGGCATACGAACTACAGGCCGATATCTCTAATCTCAATCGTCTGCAAAATCCTAAAAAGAATTATTCAGATGACTTAAAATTAAAAAAACAAGTTGAGACAGCAGCCTCAACAGCCAAACAAGTACTTGGTAGGCTGAACAAAGCATTCTGCAGTCAGTGTATTGTTGTCTGGCAAATATTGTATACAGCTTATATTCGCCCACATCTCTAGTGTGCAGTACCAGCCGGGTCACCATTTCTAAAACATGACATTAAAATACTAAAAAAATGCAGAAGCATGCAACAAAAAATGGTTGGACTAATAAAGCATCTACTGTACGCCTAAAAACTGCAAATATTGGGTTTAGCAACTCTTGAAGACCGCAGAATGCGAGGTGACCTAATTCAACAATTCAAGATCACTCGAAACTAGTAAGTGACCTGGGTTTTTAATTGATCGGGGCCGGAGCCAGGTTTGATAAAATATAGCCAGGACTGGGTTTGTGACAGAGGGTGCATAAACATTTATACATCCTAAAGTATATTTTCTCAATTCAAAATTCATATCATATTTTGTATATATATGCATATATAGACATCATTATGATCAATATTATTTTGATAATCATTACCATGATGATGATGATGATGATTATCATCATCATCGTCATCATCATCATCATCATCAGGTTTCCTCTTTTATGCTGTTTCTCTAATATAAACTATCTATAGCCTTTTTTTTCTTAACTAAAGCTGATTCATACAATATGTAAGGCACTCTATTTAAGTATTCTTACATCTACCACTTCCATTCTTTTACTACTTCCCTCCCTTGCTGATACCTAAATCTTTTTAATCTTTTCTAACAAATGTTATTTAATACATTTTTTCTAATCTGTCTAAGATTATATCTCCTTTTTTTGTCTTGCTAGAGTCACACCACATATCCATCTGACCATTTTCTCTTATGGCAAATAAAATACTAAACACTATATAAATACTAAAGTTTATATAACAATGAAAGGATATTGTATGCCAGCATCTAAATAAATAGCAAACATTTTACATCCATAATATTTATGCATAAAGCGTTTATATCCATAATATTTATGCATAAGGCGCATCTCAGAAGCTTTTATTCCTTCTGGAATAAAAATTTGAAAGCTTTTATTCCTTCTCTTCAATTTTAAGTCAAGACTCATTCTACTCCACATTTTTTACCTTGAACAGTTGCTTTATTAAACTTTTATCATTTTTTACATCTTTTTTACAAAAACATTTCTTTTAAAAACCAATGTTCTTTTATTAATCCAAGAAGACAATGTAAAAAAGTCTTGTCTAATGTTATTAATATTAGAAGTTAACTAAATCTTGTATTTTATCAAAGATGTTAGGTTCTAGACTCTTCTGGTAAACCTTCAACAGTGTCACTAAACTTTATACTTTTGTCTAAAGGCTAAACTTTATACTGTTGTCTTGACAAAAAATCTTTTTAATTTCTTAGAACAGCTGATTTTAAATCTAACCTCTCTTCTGTAACAGCCTAAAGCTTGCAGTGGCATATGGATTAAAATTCTGAACTTAAAGTCCAAAATTTTTGTTAGACAACAAAACTCATTTACTGCAAATATTGCAATATTGTTGGCATTCCTATATTGACAAATAACAACCTTGTTACTTTCAGACAAAGTCTAAAAGCACATTGTAAATGTAATTAGACCTTTATCTGCCAAGCTTAAGCCACTATCCCACTGTTGTAAGGTTGCATTTCTTTCTTTTTTTTACAAATATAATCATGGTCAATGTTCAAATGAGCTATCATCTCTATAACGATAAACTAAAACTCATTCTTGCTTGGCTTTTTATTCGACAAGTTTCATCCTTTCACTGTATCTGTCCCTTCATGCTATAAAAACTTTTACTAATCCTGTTTTATTCTTTGAACATTGAAAAAATCTTATATTTTTTTTTAAACTTTTTAAGTCTTCAGTTATACGTATTTTAACTCTAAAGTAACTCATAACTTAATAGTAGTAAATTTAAGTTTAAAAATATATAAATGTGTTTAACAAATAGTAAACATAATCATAAAGTTATAATATATAAAATATATATATTTATAAAGTATAATAAATTTTTTTTTAGCCCCGGCTATTAACCCTGCTAAATCTTATAATTTTACCTGAGATGGGTTTGCAAAAAGTCTCATTTTTAGCTGGGGCCCACTTACTACTCAAAACATTGACGAGGTTTATTTTTATGTGCCACAGACATAACACTTAGCTAAATTGATTTACAATTATCGAGGTCACAGTCAGGGTCTTGATAAACAAAGAGTTAATCATTGTATTGAAAAGAGAACAGTTTTTTACAAACCAAAAAGGACATTACTGAAATGTTCTCCTGTAAAAGACCATCGATGTGCTAAGTGTCAACTGCTTTAAAAACTTTTTATTTAACTATAGCTGCTTTGTATGCAGCACAAGACTGTCAGAACAAAATATTTAAAAAAAAAATTTATTTTGGGCTAATATTTTGTTGTAATTTTTTGATCGAATAAAATAAACTAAGCTTAAATTAAAACTAGAAGTATTATTAAGAAAAGATAAAAAAAAATACTTACAAAAGCATATGAATTGCTAACTTGAAAAAAGGGACATGTTATGTGAATTTTTGCAGGACATGTCCCCTTTTTCAAGTTAGCGATTCATATATAAGAATACTTATAAAATCATATATATAAAACTATTAAATTATTAAAAATACTAAATCAAATAAATAAAAAAAAAAGCATTTCTATGATCAAAACACAGAAATAAATAAAAAATATAACAAATTAATGATAATAACAAATAATGACAAACAAAAAACCTGGGTTTTCATTTCAATTTTACATTAATTTTTAGTTTTATTCAATTTTCATTCTTTATTATATTAATTTTTTTGCTTTTCTTTTGAATTTTCTTTTTGTTTTTTAAGGGACCCCAAACCTCTGAGACATGTTGTGTTCATATTAAAGAGAATGATAAAAAAAATTTTTTTGGGCTAAATTTTTTTGATTAAAACAAAAGAATAAATGCATACCAAGAAAAACTAACTTTTTTATTTTAGTCAAAGCTCACCTCTGTTTTGTTGTTAGGCAAAAAAGTCAGCATAATATACACTGCAATCTACAGACTTTTATAGATTGTTTTACAAGTTTGTTACATTAGAATTAAAAAGATATTAAACTTTTTGCATTAAAACAAATCAATTTGTATATATTTTAATGCAAAAGTGAAGATCTCAGGCTCCCTGAAACACTATTGGTGATCGAAAGGCATTCCTGATGGATGAAAGATCACCATATATCAACTACTTAATTAAAATTGGTTCAAACATCAGCGTTTGTGATATTTAATTTTTAAGATATTATGGTTTAGTTTATTAGGTGTTATGTTATTTTTATTTGATATTCTTATTTTATGACTAGCAATACAACATTTTTCAAAACATTTAATGATACAGTAGCAGGCCTTGTTTTAAGCGTTAAGCATAGAGCTTTTTTTTCTTTTAATCCTCTTTTCTCAACCTCTTTTTAAAGTTGAAAAAGCAATTTTTTTCTTCTTTAATAAAATAAGAATAACTTAAAAAAAAAAAAAATTTCCCAACTGATATTGATTACTGCTTAAAATCGCTTATCATGTACGTAAATAGATCTACGTTTAACACTTAAAACAAGGCCTGCAGTAGTATAGTGGTTTTGCATTCTGTATCACATTCTAGTGATTCAAGTTATGCATCGTGTATGGACTTCATTTTCTGTATTAGCAGTTTTTATGTATTTTTCTTTTATATTACTTTTGGTTATGCTAGTGATAATGACACCAGGCAGCATGTAAGCATATTTTCACATACTCTATATTTTAATCACTTTCATAAGATGATCCCCTAGTTTAGAGATTATTTTTAACTTGCACAGAGTCTCACTGCTCTTCTGGACATCTAGTCTTTTGGATCTTTAATAAACTCTGCTCCCCTAGAGATTTTAGCAAATAAATATTTGGACACTGGAGTCAGCAAAATTAGATCTGTAGTTGGCATAAATTAGCCAACAACGAATTTTCTTTTTTAGCTTAAAGATATTAGTTGGCAAATTTTTTTTTCTAAGCTTTAATCTACGAAAAACAGATAAGTCACCTCCCCTTTAAAGTCTATGGCATGGCCCTGACTAGACTTTATGACACTTGTCACTTGTATATGATCATAGTGTCACAGAAACAAAAGATGATACTTTTTTGATTCCTATCACCATAGGAATCAAAATAGTATCCTTTGGGAAAAAAATCTAAACCAATTTGTTGAGTCACTGGCAAACAATATAAGTGCTACATTGTTTCTTTATTCTCATTATTTATTTAAAATCTAAAACCAAAAAGTTTCTCAAAAAAATTCAATTCAATGTGCTCAGCATAAATAGTTATTTATGCAATTTCATGATTTTTAAAATTCTCAACTTAGATGATAAAATATTTGGTTCCAAGAGTCTACAAATACTTTTAAAGAACATAGTTGAAAAAGAGATTATACTTTACATAAGTGTACAGATGTAATGAAAGTGTAAATGATGTTAATTGCTTTTTCAAATGTAATTTTGTACCAGTTTAAAAAAGATGAATCTATTGGGAATAACTTTTAACTAAATCGCATTAAAATTTTTTTTTTTAAATTAAAGTAATATATATATATATAAATATATATATATATATATATATATATATATATATATATATATATATATATATATATATATATATATATATATATATATATATAAAGGCCTCGGCGGGAACAAATGAGCACGAGAGCTGAGAAAAGCTCTCCTAAAACGAATTTGGGGAGCTGCGCAAGCTGCTCCTCATTTAAATTAGCACTCTTTTGTAATTTTAATTATACCTTCATGAGAAAAATTATACTTTTGCGAGAGCCGTAAATTGCTCCTGTAAACTGTTTTAGGGGAGTGTAGGCGAGAGCGAGAGCTAAAGCTCTCGCTTCCCGCCGAGGCCTGTATATATATATATATATATATATATATATATATATATATATATATATATATATCTGTATAAATAAATATATGCTTTTTTAATATACAATATACAACTCAGATGTATTCAACCCATTACTAAAATCATTATGGATAATTTTTCCCATCTAGTGAAGATTTTTTCAAATAGACCCATAAAAGTTGAACTTTAAATATTTCATCACATTTATCTCTTTTTCAAAACAAAGAAATTACTCATTTCACTCATTCCAAATCAAAATGATGGAGTTGAAAAATGTGCAAGCTTTATTTTTATCATCATCATATATAATGATGACATTATTCATTATCATCATGGTTATCATCAACATCATCTTCAACATCTTAGCACTGGATATAAGAGATTATAACCAAGTTGAGAATTTAAAAGCAAGTTTTGAGCATAAGTTTTGTATGAGGACCAATCATCATCAATAAATCATATCCTAATATCAATTTTTTAATTAAATAATTAATGAATTGACTTTATGATATTTGTTAAAAATATTTGTAAAAAAGAAAAAAATTGAAAAATTAGATTTTTATTGAAAATCATTTTTTAAACTAGTATCAAAAAAGCTTTATCATGGACACTTGAGCTAATAGAAACCTGGGTTTGTATTTGAAAATAAAAAAAAAGAAAAGATAAAACCCTGGTTTTAGTGAGTGGACATGTTTTGTAAAAAATAATGACTACTTTCTATAGCCAATTCTTTCTTGTAGGTTGATTATTATTTATGAAATTTATTTTATCACATCAAAAAAGGCATTAAAAAATTCTTTCTAACAATAGCAAACATGTTGCATTTGGTTTACTTTTTAAACAAAATTATCAACTTAAAGTTTTAAAATTTGTTGAACTTATTTTATAGTTTTGTCGCTGTTATTATGTATGTTAGTTTTGTTGCTGTTATCGCTGTTGTTTTATAGTTTTGTCACTGCTGAGTAAAAATTAGTTTCTTGCAAATTACAAGTAAAAAATAGTGTAGAAAAACCTACGATTTTTTTCATATTTTTGTTGTTCTTCAATAGGAATCTCCAGTGTTAAATTCTCGTTGCATCTTGGCTGATCATCACAACATTTAAATACCATAGGAACTTGATGTGGAATATGCTTTTGTCGGCATTGAAAAATACCTCCTAAATGTATTTAAAAATATTTAAAATAAATCAAATAAAAACTGCAAGGATATAAACTTCAAAAAATCAAAAATTACTATATATTATTTTTAAAAATTAATTCTATAAAGATAAAACTAATATCCATCCTCAAATATCTTCACATAAAAAATAATACTACATATTCTAATATAGGGATTAATATCCATTATTTAATTAAAAAAACACCTTCAAATTCAGGAGGGGTGCAACCATATTGATATACTTGGGTTGTTGTACCTTCTAGATATTCAATTGCTGCAAAACATTTGTAACTTGTATAACAAGTTTCATTTGGGCTTCCAACAGGGCAATCAGAATTACAAAAACATTCCAATCCAAATACTAAAAAAATACAATAAATAGAAACCTTAATCTTCATCACTTTTCAATATTTTTACATATTTTTTTTTTATCAGCAAAAATAGCTTAGACTTTATCAGAAAAAAGAAAAGAAAAAATTGCTTACATATTTTCTGATACAGCAATGAGTAAAAAAACAGAAAAGATAATTGGTGATTAGCTTTCATTTTATAAACTTTGAATTTGAATCTAAGTTGTAAAAACTTAAAATTTTACTTATAATATAAAAACTATTTTATTATTGAAAATAAAATTAAAAAATTGACAAATGAGTCATAACAAAAATGAAACAACTGACATGAAATCTTAAATCTTTTTAAAACTTAATTAAATTTTTTTTAAACTTTATTTATAAAGTCGTATAAATATATAAATGTGTCTATAATACTTATACTACTTAATACCATAACTTATGCTTATTAAGCATACATAGCTTTCATTTACGCCATCCCATAAATCAAATGCGGCTATCACATGTGAAGTGCATCGAATTTTTTTGTTTACTACATTAATAACTATTATTAATACCAGATTATCAAATTTGAGAATATTTACTTAAAATAAATGACTTGTGCTATATATGTAATATATTTATAACACGCGATTTTGAATAACCATAAAATTTATTTAATTCCATTTAGAAAATTAAAAACACATAGCTAAGGTAATAAAGTTTTACAAATTTTAATAAAATATTTTTTTGGTAATCAATAAAAAATATAAAAATATGTAGAAAAAAAATCTTTAAAATTGATAATATTTTATAACTCTATAATTAAAAATCTTCAAGAATGAATTTTAGTAGATGGCTTAAGAGTTGCTAGCTTTTTAAAGCAGTGTCCATTGTATTTAGAGAAAAGAAAATGGTAAGCAACACAACAATGTGACTATGGTTGAAAGATTGGTTGCATGAGCAGGTCCAACTATGTTTACAATGCGTTTTTGCACTTTGTCTAAAAGAGAAAGGGCATCATTTGAATTTATTATTTCCGTCCCTGTACGAAATATTATTTATATTTCGTACAGGGACGGAGATTTGAGATTTTTAGAGATTTTTTTTTTTTTTTTTTTTTTATTTAATTTAATTTAAAATTTTTTTTTATAATATAATAGATAAAGATAATGTATTTTATAATATAATAGATAATATATTTTATATTATATAATATAATATTTTATATATATTTTATATATATAAATTTTATATATATTTTATATATATTATATATATAAATTTTATATATATTTTATATATATTATATATATTTATATATATTTTATAATATAATAGATAATATATTTTATATTTTATATAAAAGATAATATATTTTATAATATAATATATTTTATAATATAATAGATAAAGAATAGAATCTGGAGTAAGAAAATGGTAAGTACAACAAAGAGATGCAACCTTAACAGATGCTAATTTTGCAATCGATTTGATATATATAGATCATCCAAGTCATATTTTAAAAATCCGGAAAATTGTTTAGGTAAAATAACTAATATTTTCGCTTATTTTTCGTCTTAATTTTTCTTTTAGCTAAATTGCTTCCAATTTTTTTTCTATACTTTTTTTATTTTGGTATGAGTGATAAGTGAAAAAGCTTAAAAAATAAATATATTACAAAAATATATATCTAAACATGTATGGAAAACGTTTTGGATATCCAAAAAAACTGAAAGTTGAGAAAAATATCCAGACTTCCTGAAATATCCAGAAAAAGATAATCCTTGGATATATGGTTTCCAAGAAGATTGGAAGTAAGAGTAAACCCTAGAAGGAAAGATGACTTATCGAGTACATTACCTTTTATAAATGTAGGAAGATCTAGATTATTGCGATAACAATAAGCTGAAAAATTAAATTTTATCTGAGTTAAAGTTCACCACCCATTGAGAGCACCATGCTGTAGCAGAAGTTGAACTCCTTTTTAAACACAAATGTTCCCTTTAAACAAGCAGAAAGTGTTGGTTTCTTATCTAGATAAGAATAAATGGTAGTATCATCAAAGTAAAATTTCTCCTTAGATGTGAGAATTACTGGGAGATCGTTAATATAAATTAAAAAAAGTATGGGGCTAAGGATAGAAACTTAATGATTCCCCGAAGTTACATGAAATAAAGAAGAGTGCTGTCTATTAAGGACAATTTTAATACTACAATTGGTAATGAAGGATTCAAAAATTTTAAGGATGTTACCTGATACACCATACAAAGAGAGTTTATGGAAAGGACCAGCATTGTCAAATTTTATCAAAGGCATTAGAAATGTAGAGTGATAGTCTTAATCTCTCCACATCTATCTAACACACAATAAAACCTATTGGTTATTACCATTAACAAAACAGCACAAATAGAACCAGAAGATAGAAATCATATTGATGATCAGAAAGTAAGTCATTAGAATCAAGATGAGATATTAAGTGTTTGTTAATAAAAAACTTGCTTAACATAGAAAGAAGAATGGGACAGGTAGTTAGATGAGTCAGATTACTCTCCAGAATATTTGTAAATTAGGATAACAGCCTTTCACTTTCACTTTTTGTTTTCTTGTTTTCCAGCCAGCTGGAAAAATGTCTTTTTCCAGCTGGCTGGAAAACAAGACTCTGATAAGCATTTGTTAAATAGTTTTAAAAGTATAGACGACAACTCCAGAGAACAAGGCTATAAAAGGTATGTTGTTCGGACCACAGAAGAATCTAAGTAGAAAACCACTTTAGATACAGAAGCTGGAGTGATTCTAATGTCAAGCAATGGATCAACCTGTGTGTCAGCTATATCAGGTAGGATGAGATTAGTAGAATATACATATCAAAAAATTTATTATTAAAATTTTATTAAAAGTTTACATTTAAATTTTATATAAAATTATAAATTAACATAAAAATTTGATATTATAAAAATTAATAGATATTAAACTTGGTGTATAAATTATTTCTTAATAATAGAAATCAATTTGTTTCTATAAACCAAATTATATAGTCAATTGTTATCTTGCTCTATAAACTTTTTTCTCTTCCAGTAAGTTCCAACTCTAGTGGTTGCTTGCAGCCTTATTGGAAGCGAAGATGTTGAAAAAAAAAAAAAAAAAAAAAAAAAAAAAAATGCTGATATTTGTGATATTAATGTTAGTGCACCTCAAGGACTGGGACTAGAACCATTACTATTTATAATCTTTATAAATGATTTATCATAGGCTATTGAATTTTACAGAGTCCAACACTTTGCCGATGACATGAATCTTCTTTCTATTAACAAATCTATTAAAAAAATTAACAAATTAGTCATATATGATCTCAAAAATTACTTGCTGCATTCCTATGCCGTAATACCATGACAAACTTAGCAATCTGAAACAACAAATTAAATCGTGGGCCAGTTGCATTTTTGAGACAATTCAGCTTATGCAATACATGATCAATTCTTTCTTTTAAGAAAGTGTTGCCTGGGAGCAGTTGATGCCACAAACTAATCACAAACACACTCAACATTATCTCAAATTGATGTTTTCAAAGTAGGAAATCTGTTTATAAAGTATAACACTAATTCAAATTCAACAGACTTTCTATTCTCAATTTGGATAACAGCTGCATGTTCAACAACAGGGTCAGTCAATAGAAAATGACCTTTTCCATATAGATAAGCTGCCTGCATGAACCGAATTGCTCCAAATTCAATCATCTTAGTGATACACACTTCTTTATTTAGCCATGTGTAGCCCCATACTTCGAAATTATTATGTACTTCTGATCACAAAAGCCACAAAAATCTTTTAATGTACATTGTTAGTGCTGTTGTGAAAGCAATAAAAATTGTCAAATAAAAAGTTGCTAAAATGTTGCTTTAGTAAATGTATCTGATCCTGCTTTTGCGGTATTGTAAATATGACAGGGACATCCAAATATGTAAATTGACTCTTTGATTTTTTTTAATGAGGTGTGTGAATTATCCCTTGTGTTTTCCCATGTTCACAGAGGCATTATCTAAAATTAAGGCAATGCAGTTTTGCAAGGTAACACTTTCTTTTTCAAAGATAGCCTACACCTTTTGGAAAATTAATCCAGCTGTACAATCACTGGCAAGAGCCATATTCCAAAACTGAGAACTGATTTCACCTCTGTTAATGTTATAAATCTTCACAACAAGTGAGTACATGCTTTCAGTACCTGTATCACTGTTTCTATCAACAGAAAGGCTAAATGGTTTAGCTTTGAGAAGATCCACAATACAAGAATGTAATGACAGGGCAATGGCATTATTAATGATGAACTTTGTTTTTGTTGCTGCACATCCATACTTTGCTGCTATTTTACTGTCAGGAAACATTTTTTTTGAAAAGAAGACCTGCATGTGATGAGCACTCAAATGACAAATTATGTTCTAGAATAAAACCAATAAACAAAAATTCTGCATTTATAATAGATTTAACTTCAGTTGTGTTACTTGCAAAAAAGGAATTGATTTGTTTAGTGGATGCAACATATTTAACTGTCTACTTATGCTGATATGTCTGGTAATATCCAATAGTTCTTGGTGGTGGATATTGAAACATTCACATATCTGAAATCAAAAAACAACAATAAATTATTCTGTTACCAGTTTAAAGTTAATATTAAATTCCTATTAAAAATTTATTGTGACAAGTAAAAAAGCACCTAAACTTAACTTTATTTATTAAAAAAAGTAGTAAAACTTATGTTTTTTTAACATATCATTATCTATATTGAAATTTCTATATATTAAAAAATAAAACTTGATAATAGAAAACGTTAACAAAATTAAAACTACATTTTTATACTTACTGTGCAATTAGCTTTGAATTCATTATCATTTATAGGCTGAACAAAAGGAAATTGTGTGCTCCAAGCACGTTTAAGAAAACAAGACGTATACTTTCTTTTCTTTGATTCATTTGATGTCATTAATATTAAAAATTTTTAAATTATTACATTCGAAACAAAAATTGTTTTTAAAACTCTTAAAAACAAATAAATTAACTATTTAATTATATAGTTAATTTTATAAATAAAAAATTTCCTGTGTTTCCTGTGAATTATTATTTTTGTTAATTAATTTTTGTAAAATGCGTGTTAAACTTTTTTACCTAATCAATTTCTTTTTTCGCGGGTTTTTTAAATACCTTTGCGGGTCTGCGGGTTTTTAAAGTCTATGTACATAGCACAGTGGGAAATTAAATGGCCAAAAATCAGAAAAGTGACTTGGTTCAATTATTAATTCTAATAGTGGGTTTTGTTACTAATGCCCTCACTAAAAATTTTCCAATTTATGAAATTCTAAATGTGGCAGGCTCAATTGTAGTGGCTTCTTGAAGTTAGTTTTTTTAATGAATTTTCGATAAAATTCTCAAATTGCTGGATTTTAGTAATTCTTTTTTTTTAATATACAGATCATTGAAGAATTGAGAATAAAATAAAAAATTTCTTGAAAAAGTAGGTAGTAAAACTTTTAGCATTAAAAATAAAAAATTCATCACAAAAGTACTAAATTTTATCTTTGATGAAGAATTAAAAAATTGTTCCAAATTTTTAATTCTTCATCAATTCTTCTTCCAATTGTTCCAACTTTTCCATATTTTGATATTTTTTAGTCTATAGTATCTACTAACTACCCTGAGAAGTGTAGCTGCGATCATCGGCGATCTTGAGCGCTAAATAATTTTGAAAAACTGATGTTTTTTTAAACAAATAAAAAACTTTGATAAAAATAATTTTTTTCATTCATTACAAAAAGTAAAAAACATACAAACTACTTTAAAGCATGAAAGACCAAAAAAAATTTGTTTTCGTGTTGTTACTGAAAGGAAAAATTTTTTATTTTAACTTCATGAGTTTATGGTTTTTAAATGAATAACTAATTTAAGAAAAAATAATTCTAAAGTGCATTTTTAATGTCCCACTAATCGACCAAAACCACATGAATTTCTAAATGATGTTAAAAAGTTTCATTTTACTTTGTAAATTTATTGTTGTGAACTAAGATAATGAAGGAAATCAATTTAATATAAATTGTGCAGTGTTTTCAGGTTTCGGTAAATACTTTTGAAAATGTAAATAGTAGGTTTAAATACATTACTAGAATTCAAGTCAGAGAATAGAAAACAAATCCAATCAAATTAACCTTCAAGATTTGGATCTATTAGTCACAGTAACATCACCTCTTCGAATACATGTACAATCAGATTTAAACAATCTTTTATGGAATAACATCATGTCTCAAAGTATTAGATTCTATAGACCAATTATACTGGAGTATGTAAATGAGAATAAAGAAGTGGTATAAAAAATTAAGGAAGAAATTGAAAAAGAAACTTTTAATTTATATCCTGATAAAGTTTACTTTTCAGGACATAAATCTGTTTTTATCGACTATAATTTTATCCTTTTAATTGATGGAAAAATCTTAGTTACATCACGGAGACTTCTTCGACACAATGTTGTCCGATTTGTCAAGCCACACCTAACATAACGAGCGATCTAAAAAAAGGTTTGTTACAAATAGGCAGGCGTTGTGCTATGGCATTTGACCACTACATGCTTGTATTAGGTTTTTTGAGTTTATTCATATTTCATATAGACTTGAAAAATAGAAAAGGTTTTCAAAAGATCAATATTTTTGGAGAGAAAAAATTATACATGATAGGATGTATGAAAAACTTGGTTTGAGAGTTGATGAACCAAAAGCTGGTGGATCAGCTAGTGGAACTAGTAATACCGGAAATTTATGCACATGAGCTTTTTCTGATCCTCTATTACTCAGCAAAATTTTAGAAATGAATGAAGAAATTATCAGGTTACATAACATTCTAATTGCAAATAATTGCAAAGACCCAAATGATCCGGAAAAAATTGATAAATACTGCAATGATACATATAAGAAGTTATTAAAGATATATGATTGGTTCAAGTTCCCAGCTTACATTCAAAAAGTATAAGCTCATGCTAGGGAAATTGTTATTAATTTACCAGTTCCACTTGATTTAATGGGAGAGGAAGCAGTTGAATCTCGACACAGAATTTATAAATTTGATCGTGAACATCATGCAAGAAAAAAAAGTAGAGAAACAAACTTACTTGACATTTTCATTCTAGGTATACATACTTCCGATCCCCAAATTAGTTCAATCTCATAAACTAAAAGATTAAAAAGTAAGGAAACATTTTAATTACCTAAGTGTGCCTACCGGAAAAAGTTAAAAGTTTGTTAGCAGTTTATAGCGATGATAAAGAAAAAGATTCATCTGAATTGGAATTAGATGAAATTAATAACTTAGGTGAATTATATTTAAATGTTGATAACGTTAACGAAAATCTAGAATTAGATATAGAGGTAGAAGAATAAAGTTCTAAACTGTATCATCTGTGTAATGTATAACTTTATATTTATTTGTCAACTATATAAATTTATTAAGTATATAATATAATATTTAAAAAATTGCAAGGATTCAGTTCAAATTATTAGAGTTTGGACACAAGATTATCCCAAAAGTTTATTTATTTGTTTGTTTTTTTATTATTAGTTTTATTATTATTTGTTATTAATTGAAAATTAAAATAACAGACTTTAATTTTCATTATTTAATCTGCTAAAGTTCGAAAGATATAACTGAAGTAACTATAATAAAGTTTTCACCATCCCCAAACTGAGGGGCTTGTAAACTTTATATGATCATAACTTTCAGAAAATAAAAGATTATCCAATGAAAGCAAAAACCTGTCAATAAATTTGAGTTTAGTATAAGATAGCATCAAAAATCTGTTTTTAGACTCAATGCCCTTATATTTGGGGTGAAGCGGGGCTAACTTTTTTGGGTATTTTTGATCCCGGGCTTGAATCACCGCAATTTTTTTTGCAAATCAATATATTTTGAATCAAGTATGAACATTTGGTGCATTGAAAAATTATCCATTATTTAAACAATACCCAAAAGTATTAAATATAAAAAAATCCAACTGGTGCCCCAGTGCTTAAGTGGATTCCCCTCCCCCCCTGCTGTGCCTATTAGCTGGTTAAACATTAAAATTAAAAATATTTTATTAAGTCTCTATTTTACCCATTTAAGGCTTGATATCCACATAAATACAACGATTATATTTTTGGCCACCTATTTCAATGGAATGTTCCCATTATGCATTGTTGATATGTTGTAATCAAGTAGAATATAAATTTAATTTGTTATAATTGTTAAATAGTTTTGATTAAAAAAATATTTATAAGAATATTCTTTTATAATAGAATGGTTTATTTTCCTTATAAACTCGATTCATTCTTTATTTAAATACTACTCCGTAACGCGGCTCAAACTGGTTCATACAATTTAAAGTAACGCGGTTCAAACTGGTGCATATAATTTTATCAATAATTATATCGTTGATAAAATGTTTAAATAAATTCAATGAATAAATTAAATTTTACTGAAAACTATAAAGATTTATGAAAATATTCAAAATTCTCTATTAATATTCTCCATTATTACTTGTGCAAAAAAAACATACCAAGGTCCCACCGAGATTTGAACTCGGATCGCAAGATTCAGAGTCTTGAGTGCTAACCATTACACCATGGAACCGACAACAGTTTCGAAATTATTGTAATATTTATACAAATATAAAATTAGTATATTTAAAATTGTGTTTTTGAAAAAAGATGTTTTATTCTAAATTTCATAAAAAACATAATTTTTTTTTCACTCTAAGTTATATGTTCTCCATTTTAAAAGTAAAAGTAAACAAAAAAATTATATGCGCGTAGTAGTAGCTCTTTTTCCTTTATTTCTTAAGGATAATTATACCCGGTGGGAAAAAAGATATCTTTAAACGAATAAAAGACGTCTTTTTGATGACTTGTTATGTCTTTTTATAAAATAAAGCCAAAATAAAGACGTGGAAAAGAAAAAGTCTTAAAAAAAGAGCTCGAAAAGACGTTAACCGGTTGTACGTTTTTAATAAGACGTAGAAATGAAGTTTTTTTATATCTATGACCATTAAAAAAAAAGAAGGATGAAAAATTATTGTGTTGAACAATACTGTTTTTATATTTATAAATTATTCTCCTATTTTAAACATATAAAAGATGTAGAAAGTGCTTCCTGATTTATATTGACGTCTAAAAGAGGTTTTTTTCTCGGCATTGAAAAGAGGTTTTTGTCATACTTTGTATGAAAATATTAATATCATTTTCATTTGATAAAAACAATTTTTCATATATGAAAAGTAGGAATACTATAATGTATAGGATACTATAGGATACTAAAAAGTATGACAAAAAAGTCGTTCTGACCGCGAGAAAAACACTTTTTTAGAAGTGCGTAGTTAATAAATACAGACGTATTAAGACACATTTTTTATGTCTTTTTATGACAAGTTAAAGACAAAATAGACGCCTTTTCCATGTTGAAAAAAGATGTGTATACTCGACTAAAAAAAGGCGTCTTAAAGACGCATTTTTTAAATCTTTTCATGACAAGATTAAGATAAAAAAATCGACATCGTAAATAAGACTTTTTCCCACTGGGAATTGTCTGAATGTAATTGCAATACTTAAAAAAATTTCAGCACCGAGCAAAGTATAGTCGTGGCTATGCTCCACCACATCTTCCAAAAAACGTCAGAAAAAATTTCACAGTCTCAAGATATAAAGGGCATTCCTGATGAAGCAGTTGAATCTCTTTCTATGTAAGAACGCTTTAACTTACAACCAAGTACCAGTACGAGTACGTCAAACTCACTAATTTTATTTAAGATTTAGTTTTTTCTAGAAAAAGTAATTTAAACTCAAATACAGTACAAACTCTTGCTTTAAAACAAAAACTTTAGCTTTAACTTCTATCTTTGTATTGTGCAATATCTTTGGTGCAATTCCTATTGTGCAATTCCTTGGTACTAAAGGATAAACTTTTCGTGGAGCCAGTGTAACAGTTTTCAAAAAAAACAAGAGAAATTTTTTAAAAACTTGTTGAACACATTTCAAAATTTGACATTAATCTA